TGTGAAGAGGAAAACTCTGTTTATAGAAAAATACATGTCCATAATCCATAATAACAGTGCTTGATCTGTGCAGATTTCTCTCCCGATTCAGGACTTTTTCACTGGAGAAAGTATAATTACGGATAGAGGACTCTTTTTTTTTTACAATGGTTTGAAATGAAAATAATCCACAAGTAATCCTCACCACTCCAGTCTATTAACATCATGTGAAGAGGAAAACTCTGTTTATAGAAAAATACATGTCCATAATCCATAATAACAGTGCTTGATCTGTGCAGATTTCTCTCCCGATTCAGGACTTTTTCACTGGAGAAAGTATAATTACGGATAGAGGACTCTTTTTTTTTTTACAATGGTTTGAAATGAAAAAATGATGGATTTGTTTCTTACAAACACGCAGCTTTTCACTTCACAAGATGTTAATTGAGTGGTGTGGATTACTTGTGGATTATTGTGATGTTTTTATCAGCTGTTTGGACTCTCGTTCTGACGGCACCCATTCACTGCAGAGCATCCATTGGTGAGCAAGTGATGGAATGCTACATTTCTCCAAATCTGTTCAGATGAAGAAACATCTTGGATGGCCTGAGAGTGAGTAAGTTTTCAGCAACTTTTACATTTTTTGTAAAACTCAAATATTTCTCATCAAATTTGTTCAAATTCAAATGACATTTATTCTCCACATTCATCTATAGCTCAGTACTCTTACCGTGTGTCAGCTATTGGCTCGTTGTGTCTTTTAATGCAAGTTGTAGTTGATACTTAAATGAAACACTAAAAAACATTCATTCAGTCTCATGAGCTATAAAAGTGTTTCCTCTGGGCTTTTTGACTGTGTAAAATAACTGTATAAATGAGTGCCTTTGGACCTTGTAAACCGCTCCTGCTCCTCCTTGGCTCTTCCCAGCGACTTGCTGATCTGGGACTCCCTGCTGATCTGACATCTCTCCGCCTGTCAAACACACAAACACACATCAGAGATGAGAAAAAGATTCAGAATAGGGTCACACACCAGCCATTGCTGCGTGAGTGCTAAAAACATGAGAAGAGTAAATAACTTCAATTAAACGGTAAACCAAAAGAAAATAGGAGATTTAATCTAAAGTGAATGGCCACAAAACACATTGGACACTTATAAATACATGAATATTATTGCGTTAGATAACAAAATATAAAAAAGAGGCATTTATTTTAAAGATGCATAATTATGCAAAATATTTATAACTGATATGAATTTTTAAATTTTTTTTACAAAACACAACTTGCCTTTCCCCAAAATTAAACAGATAAACATATTCCTTAAGCAGCAATTCATACAACTGATGTATAAAAATAAACATTATTTCAATGACTGAAAAACATTCAAAAGGAAAAAGCAATTAAACAAGCTTATAATGTTCATTATTGTAACATCATTCATATTGTGTGTGTAAAAAAATTTTCTTGGTAGTATACGGGAAAAACAAAACAAAACAAAAAGCAATGACTAAAAAAACTTCCGACGAGACACAATTGAAAATAGCTTATTATGCTCATCATCGCATATATATTGCGTTTTTCAAAAATGTTTTTGACAGGACGGCAACAAAACAAAACAAAACAAAACAACAAAAAACAAAACAAAACAAAGCAATAAAAAAACTTCCGACGAGACACAATTGAAAATAGCTTATTATGCTCATCATCGCATATATATTGCGTTTTTCAAAAATGTAACAAAACAAAACAAAACAAAACAAAACAAAACAAAACAAAAACAAAACAAAAACCACTGACTGAAAAACATTCAAAAGGGACACAATTAAACTCGGCTTATTGTGCTCATTATTGTAACATATGCATTGCGTTTGTAAAAATGTTTTCAGTAGGACGGACAAAACAAAAAACAAAACAGACAATATCAAAACAAGTGGCTTTTCTTTTCAAGAAAGAAAGAAAAAAAAGAAAAAAAAGAAAATAAAAGTGCTTTGTTAAAGGCTTTAAACTCTAAAACAATAGATCTTGTCATGACAATGAAGAAAAAAACATTTTGTAAACTTTCTTGTTTTAGAAATAAAAGTTTGGATCAAATAGATTAGTCTTGGTCAAGGAAAAATCTCTCTAAAAATGACTTTCTTTCTCTTTTATAGCAATTTCTCTATTTCAACTTCACTACATCAGGTCTCCAAATAATCTTAAACTAGATTTCTATGACAATGATATTTAGTTTCTTTCTTCTGCCAGCACACGTGAAAAGTAAGATTTCAGATGAAGGCTGAACGCATCTTTACCTGTTTCTCTCGTCCTTCACCTTCAGCGGTTCTCACCCCTCCACTCTCTCTCAGCGTGTGTGTGTATGAGTGTGTGTGTGTGTGTAAGGAGTGTGCGTGGAGGTGAGGGTATGCCGGGCGAGTGGAGGGAACCTGGGGGGTATTTATGGTTTAATTCCGTCCACAGCAGCAGAAATGGGTTGGGCGTCGATTGCTGTTGATGCAGCAAGTCTGTCGTTCGCATTTGTGTCCGTCAGACTGCCTCTCAATAGGCCGTGAGTTGGCAGGAGTTGCCTGCAGCCACCAGCCTGCTCTGCTGCCAGCGTGGGTACAGCGGGCACCGACAGGGTGCGAGCCAAGAGGATTCAGACGGGATCAGCTGCTGTCATCACAACCCTGCTCACTATCCCCTCTTTCTCTCTCTCTCTCTGAGCCCAAACCCATGCCACAGATTTGGACCATTCATCCTCATTTGATGGATTCTCAAAATTAGTGATCGTTTTCTATAATCGTTTGCCCAAGAAAAACATGCATGTAAGAAAAAAAAATACATGTAAAGAAAATAAATAAAAATAAGCTTAATTTTGGTTTAAAATGTAGTTAAATGTAACTTAAATTGCACTTTAAAAAGACTTGGTGGATGCAATTTAATGGCTTAATTAAAATGTAGGTAAATGTAACAATATGTATATCCCACTATCCACTATATTTATTAAATTAAATTCAAACTGCATTTACAAAAGACGAGGGATGCACCTTAAAAAATTATTATTATTTCATAAAAAAATAATAAAATAAATAAACACTGAAGTCACGTTCGAAATGGACAAATCAATTAAAAATGGCTTAATTCTGGTATAAAATGCAGTTAAAAGTAACAATGAATTAATATGCATATTTTTTCAAATTCATTTTAAATTGCATTTACAAAAGACAAGGTATGCACCTTAAAAAATGGAAATCAATTTAAAGAAATCATGTTTGAAATTGACATTTGGTATAAATGTAGTTAAATGTAACAATAAATTGTATATTTTTCAAAATTCAACTTAAATTTCTAAAAGCCTTGGGGTGCAACTTAAAAAAAGAAAGAAAATCAATTATTCAATAACAAAACATTTAAACATTAAACATTTAAATCACTTGACAAATGTAACATATATTTTAAATGATTAAAAAATTACATTTTAAATTGATAAGGGATTCTTTTTGTAAGTGGCACTCCCAGTATACTTAATAATAACGGTTCAGATTGGTTAGAAAAGCAAGCCAGTGATGTAATTCAACCTGACAAATGAGGTTAAACCTACAAAAGTATTTTTTTATGGCTTAGATCAAGTAAAAGTTGCTTGAGGTAAGAATGGCAGGTCACCAATTTCTCAGAGCAAAATTTTATTATACTCTGCTGTTGTATTGGAAAATGCTCACTTTAACTGTACACTCTAAAATATGCTGGGTTATATTTAACCCAGCATATTTTAGAGTGTATGTTTAAAGAAAAAAAAAAAATCAAATTTAGTAAATAAAAATGAATATCAATGACGCGTACAGATAATAAAAGAACAATATAATAGCACCATCTAACACTCCTGGTACTTGCATTTAAATTAAAGTTTGTGCCAAAACACTGTTGAAGGAGATTTTAATTTATGGTTCTTGCAATGTACATTAAAATGATACAACAGTCCATTGGACTTCCCACTTTACCTTTATCCTGAAATTGCCTTTTCCAAGCACAAACCTCACTTTCTTTAACTGACCTACTGGTAATCAAAAGGAAATCAATAATTATTTTATAAAAATAAAAAAAACATTCTTTTGAAACTGACAAATAAATAAAAAATGGCTTAATTTTGGTATACAATATATTAAATGTAACAAATTAATATGTATTTATTTTTAAATTCAACTTAAATGGCATTTTAGACAGACTTTGGGTGAAAGGAAATTACTTATCAATCATTTAAAAAACATTTGAAAATGCCTTAATCTAGGTTTAAAATGTAGTAAAATGTAATGTTACATACCCTCTTAAAGGACTGTTTTCATAGCTCTGTCTTTGTCTCTGCTGATACCTTCTGATATCTCAGTCCTACCACACATAAGAAAATAATACATACAAAAACAAACTTGCTTCCCATTTAGAAAAAATATTTAATCAAGATGATTGTAATTCATCATTCATATTTTATAAAACACAACTCCCGTTTCCCAACATTAAACAGGTAAACATTTTCCTCAAGCAGCAATTTACACAGCTGAAGTCTGAAGAAAAGAGCACAATTAAACACAACTTATTATTATACATTATTAATAGTGTTCTTGGCAGGACTGTAAAGGCATTGGCAATAAAACAAAACCTCGTAAATGATAATCAGCCCGATCCAAGCACATCAGCTGATGCTTTTCTGCTCACTAGAGCTTTAATTAAAGAAAAAATATGGAAAAGAAAAGATTAAAAAGAAAAGAAAAGAAGTGAACAAAATCAAATGATGTTTATAAGCTGGAATGGCACATGTTGTAAACCGAACGAAAACTATTTAGAGAAATAAAAAGTAGTTTCATATAGCAATGAACATCTGAAGATCAGACTTTTTAAACAAGGTTTTAGAAACACAATATTTCAATTCTGATTTAAAATGCAATAAAATGCCTAAGAGCCCTAAGGCACCTTTTCCAGTGATCCAACTTATTTAAAGTGCATTGTAGCATGAAGCTATACTGATTTCTGTTTCTCCACGATCAGAGATGAACAGAAGATACGCGCATTAGGCCCCTGATTGAACTGGAGGAACTCGATGGATAAACCAACCTCACTTTGGATAAAAAGATCTGTTGGATTAATAAATGTAAAAATTAAATAACTGTAAAATTAACTTGGTTCCAGACTGACAGTGAACAGCACTTGCTTTTCAAGCACGCCGTCTATAATGCTGCCAAACAATTATGACAGACTTTCATGTCAAAATAAAAATGTGCATAACAGGACGTCATCTTGGCAAAGCCTCCAAACAGTTCAGTCCAGGACTCGTCCTCGAAATAGTCTGATGCTCAGTCAGTATGATTATGAAAGATCATTCATGTAAGTCAGTTCCTTTGGCATCTTTGTGGCAGAGGACTTCCTCTCAACAAACCGCATCAGATCTGTGAAACAAGACAGCAGGGTAAAGGACCTTGAAACTGTGAGGAGAACCAAATGAAGTGATATAAATGTGGATTTTGTCCTCCTCTACTGGAGATGAAGAGAGCAACATGCAAATATTCCAGGGCTTTCAGGGAAATCTTCTAATTATTTAAAGGGGTCATCGGATGCCCATTTTCCACAAGTTGATATGATTTAGGGTCTTAATGAAAAGTCTATAACATACTTTGGTTAAAATTGCTCAATGGTAGTGTAAAACAACACCCTTTTTACCTTGCCAAAAACAGCTCTGTTCACAGCAAGCCATTTTAGTGCATGTTCCTTTAAATGCTAATGAGCTCTGCTCACCCCGTCCCCCTCTCTTCCATGGGGTGACGAGCACTCACTCAGGGCGGGTCTAAGGTAAAACCAACAGTGTCAATCAACAATCATGGGAGGGGCCTGGGTGCATGTTCCTTTAAATGCTAATGAGCTCTGCTCACCCCGCCCCCCTCTCTTCCATGGGGTGACGAGCACTCACTCAGGGCGGGTCTAAGGTAAAACCAACAGTGTCAATCAACAATCATGGGAGGGGCCTGAGTCTGGGTGACGTCCCAGCGGCAACCTCCCGCTCTCTCTCATGAAGCCAACAAGGCCGTTAGAGGCTGGCTGCAATGTTAACTCCCCATGTTAAAATGCCCAACTTTACAGCAGAAAAAAACATGTTTACAGCCTGGTTCAAAAAATTATTTTGGTCTATATAGCTAATTTTGCAAATCATGACAACTGTGAGGGGGGTGAATTTTTTTATAACTCATCCGTTTAAATTATATTAAGTCTTAAAATTCTGCATAATTAAGGGCGTGGCCACTTGAGTGACAGGTGGATTGCCGCTGCTGTCACCACCGTCGAGCTAGGTGGGCGTGGTTTCAGCAGCCAGCTCCCGCCTCTTTGCCCATTTTCGATTATCCAGGAGTGACGCGCGGTGACGCGCTGCCAAGATGGCGACGGCTGGCTCCGCCTACTTTAGGCTTCAAAACGCTCGTCGGAAGTCTACGGGTTACGTCACGGACACTACGTCCATGTTTTTATACAGTCCAAAGTGACGTCACACAGACAGGCATCTGAGATCGGCTCGATTTGAGAAAGGGGAAAACATTTAACCAGGTTTAAAAAAAAAAACTAGGTGGATTTTTATCATTATAGGGTGGTTGTGTACACACACTACCAACACACATTTTAGTTCAAACAACATGTAAAAGTGCATGTAGCATCCTATGACCCCTTTAAAAGGGAATCAGAGGACTGGACGGGTGATTCCAGCACATACTCTGACCTGAGCTTCACGCTTCACTCTCAGGTTGGCTCATTCGCTTCTTGGATTTGAGCTCAAGCAGCCAGGAGGGTGAAGAGCCAGGCCTGGAGTTACATTAATCACAATTATTACAGTTGACATAATTCAGATCATTCTTATTCAATTCATCATTATGTATTCAGACAAATATGCTAAATGAAGCACCATAATGTGTATCAAGGATAATTAGAGCAATAAAACAAACATTGAAACAGCACTATGAAATGAATCCTTTAAGTTCGACATATTAAATAATAGTCAAAAAAATCTATTTCTGTCTATAACCGTTTACTGAACCATTGGGACAAACTATTAAAAATAATTTTTATGAGTTTAATTTTATTTTATTTTTATGATATCTGATATATTAGGCTTTTATGGTACATATATTATGAAATAGTGAAAGTACACTCTAAAAAATGCTGGGTTGTTTCAACCCAACTTTGGGTCAATTATGGACTAACCCAACCGATGGGTTAAATTTTTACATTCAATTTTGAACCCAACAGTTGGGTTAGTCCATATTTGACTCAAAGTTGGGTTGAAACAACCCAGCATTTTTTAGAGTGTAAGGAGGAAAAAAACCCTCAGTTTTATTCAGAGGCCCAAAGGGAGCAAATACATGCAATTTGGTGCAGATGCTGATATTTTTATGGCTTAAAAGTAAGATGAAATATGCATATAAATATCAGTTATCACTCCAATAATGATGGTATTTAAATAGTTTTATGATCTAAACATATGCAATGCAATACAATGATGATTGAGAGATGAACAAATAAACGCTCCTCAAAAACCTGATGATCATATTTGATAATCACATTTTTATGTCTGGATAATCAAATATATACATATATAATATATAAACATAGTAGTCAACATTTGAAGTGGATCAAAACATTTCATCAGAGTTGTCCTAAAACCTAAAACCAAAATGCGTTCTTTTCTTAGAACAACTTTGATTAACTTTTTTGATCCACTTCAAATGTTGACTACTATGTTTATATATTATATATGTATATATTTGATTATCCAGACATAAAAATGTGATTATCAAATATGATCATCAGGTTTTTGAGGAGCGTTTATTTGTTCATCTCTCAATCATCATTGTATTGCATTGCATATGTTTAGATCATAAAACTATTTAAATACCATCATTATTGGAGTGATAACTGATATTTATATGCATATTTCATCTTACTTTTAAGCCATAAAAATATCAGCATCTGCACCAAATTGCATGTATTTGCTCCCTTTGGGCCTCTGAATAAAACTGAGGGTTTTTTTCCTCCTTACACTCTAAAAAATGCTGGGTTGTTTCAACCCAACTTTG